CAGCAGATGGATACGTCTACACGTACACAAAGGGCAGGGGCCCCTCAGGACGTCTTCTTCACTGTACGGACGAGGAAGCTGTGTCCCCGGGAGGAGCAGGATTAGCTCAGGATCACCAGCTGGGTAGAGGCAGTCTGGACACCAGGTTTTCCAACTCCCAGGTGGTCAGTGATGGTTCCTTTCCACCACAAGGCCTTGGCTCTAAGTTCCAAAAGCCACTGAGCAGGTCCAGAGGATCACCCTCAGCCTGTCCAGCCTTCCCCCCACAAACCCCAACAAACTGACCGCAAGCAAACCAAGAATGCACCCCTTTTCTCAGGGCTCTCTGAAGTGGGGGCCCCCTCCCCGGGGGGCTGGTCAGAATACACATTGGTGACGCCACGGCCACCAGAAGTGGCCCCTTCTTGAGCAAGCCTCTGCCAAGTGAGGAGCAGCTGCTCCGCCCGGGCTGGAGCAGAGACACTGGCTCTGCTGTGTCTGCTGTTGAGCCATCTGCCGGTCTGGGCCCAAGGGGTGCTCAGGGCAGAAGGAGCCTAATGACAGCTCGGCAGTGCCAGAACCTTCCTCCATCCCGGTTCGTGGAGTGAATTAGAAGAAATCAAGTAGTGTTCCTGCTGCTGGCATTGGGAGGAAAGGGAATGTCAACGTGGGGTCCAAGATGACATAGCAACTGGGAATCAGAGCGGGCCGAGAAGTGAGTTTCTGGGCCCAGCTTCCTGAGCCCATTGGCAAGGCAACCCCAGTCTCATCTTCTTCTCTTGGCTCCAGCCTTCAGGGCTATGTGCTGAACCCTGGTAGACTAGCTAGCATGTAGGGGCTGGGAGAGAGTGCTGCGGGTAGCCTGCAGAAGGTCCCCTAGCACAGAGTGCTTCAGGGCCGGAGCTCTGGGGGTGGAGTGAGCAGAGCTCCGAGAGGCCAAGGGCCCAGGAAAGGATCTGGAAGCAGAAAGAGGCCCTAGGGAGGGAGATCAGGCCGAGAAAAATGTCTATGGTTTGGAGGGCATTTTTATTTTAAATATTTAATTTATCTGAAAGGCAGAGTTAGAGAGAGAGAAGGAGAGATGGGGAGATCTTCCAGCCTCTGGTTCATTCCCCAGATGGTCTCAATGGCCCAGACTGGGCCAGGTTGAAGCCAGGAGCCAACAGCTTCATCTAGGTCTCCCACATGGGTGCAGGGGCCCAAGGACTAGGGCTATCTTCCGCTGCTTTCCCAGGCACATTAGCAGGGAGCTGGATCAGAAGTGGAGTAGCCAGGATTCGAACCAACACCAGTACTGGATGCCGTTGTCACCAGGGGCTGCTTTAACAGTAAGGCCACAAGGCTGGCCCCTCGAGGGCATTCTTAAAACCCCAGGCAGCATGTCTCACGGTGCCATTTCCTGACTCTGTGGACTATGGCAAGCCCCAGATCTGATCAGGATGAGTTCAGTCTGTGATCAGTGCAGAGGGTGCTCTTGGCCTTGAAGGTTGCTGCAGCTCTAAGGCTCACGTGAGGAAAACGGTGAAAGGCCTTGGAAAGCGTGCCCACTGATGATTCTCATCCTCCCACTCTGTGGTCTGTTGGCTCAGCTGTGGAGTGTGGCTGGAGCGCCTGGCTTCCTGAGTTTCCAGAGAATGCTTTGGATCATAATGCTGTGTACACAAGCATTTTTGACAGGAGTGACCAAAGCAAAGGGGCTCTCCTTCTAGAAGGGATTGCCCAAGCTACAGAAGCAGATGCTGATGGACCTGTAACAGCATGCATCAGTCCAGGCAGGGCCTTTGTTCACAAAGAAGGCATCTGAACAGGGGTTTCCAGGACATGTGTGCATGCACACACATGCGTGCAGGTGCACACACACACAGGCACCATGGCCAGCCCTGGTAGCTTTCCTACTGAGTGTACTGGAAGATTCCTAGCTGATGGCATCCCTCAGTTTCCAGTCCCCACAGGGTCTCTTACCTAAGCGAACAGCAGCATTGACGTGGGGACCCAAGGGGACGGGTTTGCCTTCCATTAGTGGTAGTTTTCTAGAAGGAAGACATGCCAAAGGATTAATATTTGCCACCGGCTTCTAGTATTTCCAAAACCCTGTCCCCTGGGGATGGCACTGTGTCATAGTAAGCCTCTGCCTGTGGTGCTGGCATCCCACATGGGCAGCAATTCGAGTCCTGGCTGCTCCACTCCTGATCCAGCTCCCTGCTGGCGGCCTGGGAGAGCAGAGGAAGGTGGCCCAAAGTGCTTGGATCCCTGCACCCACGTGGGAGACCTGGAAGAAGCTCCTGGCTTTGGATCGGCCCAGCTCCAGCCCTTGTGCCCATCTTCAGAGTGAACCAGCAGATGGAGAACCTCTCTCTCTGCCTCTGCCTCTCTGTAACTTTGCCTTTCAAATAAATAAATAAATCTTAAAAATAAAATTTTAAAAAAACCCTGTCCCCTAAAGCTATGGGGCACTCTGGTGAGATTAGTGCTGTTATCTGGGGCTCACAGAAGTTAGGTACGTTTTCCCAGTAGGGAGGTAACAAAGTCAGTACTGGATCTAAGTCATTTACTTCACTTCTCTTTACTCTCCATGGCCCCTTGCTCCTTTTCAACTTGTGTTGATTTCCAGCTCTTGGGACCTGCGTTGTGGCGTAGTGGATAAAGCCGCCACCTCCAGGACCGGCATCCCAAGTGGGTGCCAGTTCGAGTCCTGGATGCTCCACTTCCAATCCATCTCTCTGCTATGGCCTGGAAGAGCAGTGAAAGATGGCCCAAGTCCTTGGGTCCCTGCACCCACAAGGGAAACCCGGAGGAAGCTCCTGGTTTCGGATTGGCGCAGTTCCAGCCGTTGCGACCAACTGGGGAGTGAACCAGTGGATGGAAGACCTCTCTCTCTCTCTCTGCCTCTCCTTCTCTCTCTGTGTAACTCTTTCAAGTAAATAAACAAATATCAAAAAAAATTTCCAGCTTATGCCAGTCATCTCTCCTACCACAGTCCAGTGTTCTGGATGGCACACCTGTTTGGGAGATTTTATTTTGAAATAATTTCAAATTTACAGAAAAGTTGAAAGAAGTGTATGAAGAGCTCTTCTGTCTTTCACCTAGCTCCTCAATATGTTTTAGGTTTCAGTGTTGCCACTCATGCCTCATCATGTTCTCTCTCTGTCATATACACTTCCATGTAACTTCTGATCCATTGGATAGTCACAGGCGTGATGCTGTAATACCCTTCAATGTGTGTTTACCGAAAACAAGGACATTCTCCTGTATCACCACAGTATGACATCACGATCAGGAAGCTAACATTGACTAAGTAAAGAAAACTACCACCTAATCCACAGATCCCATTCAGATCTCACTGATTGCATTAATGACACTGGTTATTGGCACAAGTTCCAATTCAGGATTGTGCATTGCATTTAATTGCCTTGCCTTTTTAGTGCCCTTCAGTCTGGAGTGGGGCCTCAGTTTCCCCTTGTCTTCCAGGATCTTGATATGTTTGAACAAAGCCTGGTTACTTGGGAGGAAGCCCCTTAATCTGGTTCTCACTGATGCTTCCTTAAAGAATGTGTTCAGGTGCTACATCGTGACCAGGAATACTAAGGAGCGATGCTCCTTTCTTGGTCCACCTCAACTAGAGGCATGCAGTGTGGTTTGTTCTATTAATGGGAATTATAACTTTTATCATTTGGTTAACATCATATCAGACAAGTTTTCCCACTGTAAAGCCAATTAATAGTTATTATACACTCATCAAATAGTATTTGTGGGGAGATGCTTTGAGACTGTAAATATCCATGTTTCTCATCTCATCTCATCTGCTAGATTTTTTTTTTTTTTTTTGGACAGGCAGAGTGGATAGTAAGAGAGAGAGAGAGAGAGACAGAGAGAAAGGTCTTCCTTTGCCATTGGTTCACCCCCCAGTGGCCGCTGCGGCTGGTGTGCTGCAGCCGGCGCACCGCACTGATCTGAAGCCAGGAGCCAGGTGCTTCTCCTGGTCTCCCACGCAGGTGCAGGGCCCAAGGACTTGGGCCGTCCTCCACTGCCTTCCCGGGCCACAGCAGAGAGCTGGCCTGGAAGAGGAGCAACCAGGACAGAATCCGGCGCCCCAACCAGGACTAGAACCCAGGGTGCCAGAGCCACAAGGCGGAGGATTAGCCTAGTGATCCACAGTGCCGGCCCTCATCTGCTATTTTAACCCCTACTGATGATTCTTGCCCAAATCATCTATTACCACAATGGTTGCCAAATGATAATTTTCTAATTTCATATTTTTTACTGTATTTATCATTTGGCATTCTAATGCCAGAGAAAGCCTTCTCTTGTCCCTTTTATTTATTTGTATTGTCATTCCTTTCTATTTTACTAAAAAGGTCACAACCAAATACTAATATTATTTTATTTTGATGCCTAAATTGTCCCAGATTTGGCCGGTGGGTATCCTTTCATGGTGAATTCTCTAGCTTTTTATTATAACTGTCTTTATTATTTATTTGAGAGACTGAGACAGAGACGGAGAGAAAGCTCCCATCTGCTGGTTCACTCCTCAAATGCCAAGGGCTAGTGTGGCAGGGAGCAGAGCCAGGAGCCTGGAACTTGTTCCAAGTCACCCACATGGGTGGCGAGAATCCAACTTTAGTCACTACCTGCTGCCTCCCTGGGTCTGTATTAGCAGGGTGCTGGAATCAGGATCTGGAGCTGGGAGCCAAACCCAGTCACTCAGATATGGATTGCAGGTGTCCTAGCCAGTCTCCTAACAACTAGGCCAAACACCCACTCGGTGGGTTCTCTATCATTTCCATTCATTTCCATGCTTCCTAAAGCGTAAGACCTTCTAAGTCCATCTGTAGTCATTTCTAGGTTGATCAGTGCTTTTTTTTTTTTTTAAGTGGGAAATAGTATTTAGAAACCAAGATATTGGTGTGCTCACTGCCACGGGGTGGCATTGCTTCTAGTATATTTCAGAGAGGGCACATAAATGTGTTCTCTCATTTGTTTAAGGCTAGAAATAAACAAGGTTGATTTATTTCAAACAAAGTTTGTTTTAAAAGAAGGGAATTAAATGATCACGAAGGTGGTTTTCCCAGGGCGAGGCTCATCCATTGCCCTCCGGAAGTGCTGACCCCTGCGATTTCCCCAGATGTGGAAAATTCGCCTGCATGATTTGTGGTAGTGGGGGACTGCACTCGTGCTCTCCCCTGCAAAAAAAAAAAAAAAAAAAAAAAAAAAAAAAAAAAAAAGAAGAAGAAGAAGAAGGGAAATGAAAGATAAGTTCATTTTGGTGCAAAAGCTTTTTGAAATCCATGTGTAGTTTTTTCATTATCTATGAACTTTTTGAAGACCCTCAGACAGTGGAATTTCAAAAAAATTTTTGCACCAAATAAACTTATCTTCCAATTCCATTTTCCCACAAATCTTTTGATGTTCTCTCATATATGTGTACACACCCACATCCCTATTTATATTAAAAACATGAGTTCCAACTGACTACCCCAGCTCTGTTCTCCTACCACAGGGCTTATTCCATTTCCAAATAACATGAGGAGCAGGGCTCTCCTTACCCTCAGTGTATTATCTGCTTGCTCAATCTCTGTGCTTGGAACCAATCTCCTAACCACAGAGACCGCCTTCTGTGTGGCAGACTCAGCAGACATGCTGATCAGGCCAGCCCAATCCTGGCCCCAGCCCTGCTGACCACCCCAGCTGTGCAGGCTGAATCCGCCATCCAGTGCAAAGGGAACGGGGACAGGAGGGGTACTTTCTATCATTCTTTTCAAGGATTGGGTTTATGGATGAGCTCATCTTTGTCACACATTGAAATCAATCCTGCCATCATTCAGACACTTGTCATACAACCTAAATGTATTTTTCCCAACAACAGAGCACTTCAGCGTTTCTAATAGAGTAACAGAGCCAGTGTGTATGAAGTTAATTCTAGAGTAATCTGAGAAACCCATTATATATCTATATCTATATTCATTCATTCGTTCTGTATTTTTAAAGCTTTCTCATAATCTGTTCTCCTATTTGTCACGCTTACTTAGATGACGAAGTAGAAGGCCTTTACCCTACTGATAAGCTTAGAAATAAAATTTCAGAAGCCAGTGCTGTGCTGTAGGGTGGTTGACGCCACCGCCCACAGCACTGGCATCCCATATGGGCACCAGTTCGAGTCTCCAATCCAGCATCCCTGCCAATGCACCTGGGAAATCAGCAAAGGATGCCCCAAGTGCTTGGGCCTCTGCACCCATATAGGAGTCTCGGAAGAAGTTCCTGGCTCCTGGCTTTGGCCTGGCTCAGCCTTGGTTGTTACAGTCATTTGGGGAGTGAACCAGTGGATGGAAGATCTCTAACTCTCTCTCCTTGTATCTCTGCTCTGCCTTTCAAATAAATAAATACATCTTTAAAAATTAATCAATTGTTTACCAAAGTATTTCCTTTCACCTGCTGGGCACATAGCTTGACTACACTTCCCGGCTTCCTTTGCAGTCAGCTCCAGTCATCTGGCTGGAGTCTGCTCAGTGAAATGTGGCAGAAATGATGAATACCTCTTCCCAGACCTGGCCCGTAAAACCTCTCGCGTATTCCTGCCTGGCTCCCATCTGCTGCCTGAACTGGAAGCAGAGGATCACGCAGAGGTTCCAAAGCCTGGGCAGGGAGAGCCACAAGATGGGTGGTGTGGGATTCCTGGGACACCCCATGGGAGGCCATCATGTGAATGTCCACATTAAGCTTTTATGTGAGAATGACAGCTTCTATTGAGATTGGCCGCTGAGCTTTAGCGTTTATTGATCACATCAGTTCGCTCACCCTAACCAATGCAGAAAGCCAAAGGGTTGCCCAAATTCGCCCTTTAAAAGTGATAAAGCATATGTTGAACATGACCTTGTGAGCCCTACCTGAGGGCTCTTCCTGTGAGAGCAGACCAAATAGCAGAGCTTAGTACCTTGGAAGGGTATAACCCTATTTTTCAGACTCTTTCACTATTCCAGGAGGGACGTATGTCTTCTCCCTTCCCTTTCCAAAGGAAACTGTGACCCAGGCTTATTTTTATTTTGTGTGGGCCCGTCTTCATCAGATGAAAGCATCTGGCTTGTCTAACACCTAACGTGCAGCACCCCCACAGAGGTGAGTCTCCCCGTGAAGGAAGACCCCTTCAATGTCCTCCCACTGGTGTGAAGTGGGGGCAGGACCCACAGTGGGGACAGGCCATAATGCCTGGGAGGCACGCTGGTTTCTTCCTCTGCACCAAGCAGGCCGGCAGAAGTTCCTGCTCTGGAGACAGCACTTCCACATCCTGTCCTTGGGCAGGCTGATAACTTCCGGTTTCAGCAAGTTCGGGTAGCTCAGGCCGCTAGACACAGACATCTTCCTAAAGAGGAGATTCTCATCCTTCTTCCTCCAGACTAGACAAGCTCTTAGGATCAAGAGAGTAGAGCTGTCAGTTAAAATTGAAGGTGGTGCGCAGTGCAATGTGTGTCTGGAGACCTGGCCGCAAGAGGCACAGGGGGCTTTTCTAGGCTGGGACTCCAGGCTTTCAAGAGAAGCACCGTGAAACTTCAGAGTTAAAGTCACGAAAGCCTGTTTCTGGAGCTGGATAAAGCTCCAAGGTTGTCTTCAAGGTCATCTTGCCTGACACTCTCATCTCATAAAAGGGGATGGAGGATCAGTGTGATTAATGAGCACGTCAGAAGGTGCGGAGGTAGTCAGGGTAGGCCCAGAGTCCTAGATCAATGTTCTCTGTGCCTTTCTTCTCTTGCAAGCAGGTCTGAAGGGAGCCACTGAGTTCCAGGAGCTGGAGTAACAGATGTAATTAGGATACTAAGTGCTGGCGGATGCGATCCCGGAGGACCCATCTCTCCATGCCCTTGGCCAACCCTCCCTGAAAGCCTTTCACTGCTTCTCTGAGAAGCCAGCTCCTGTCATCCACCAGGGACTGACACAAATAGTCTGTCTAGGGTGAGGCTCTCAATTCCAAGGTGAAGCAGGAGTGGGAACACTTTCACTCAGAACTCCAGAGCATCTGGGAAGGGCAGGTGTCTCCAGACTGGAAAGTCATGGAAATTCCCCTGAACCTAGAAGCATGCTTGGAATAGCATCAGCTGCCGCATCACCACTCCAGCCCAGCCTTGTTAGTGAGGCAAGCCGCAATCAGGGAGATAATTAGCTTGCTGTTATTTATTCCCCGCGCTAATCAGCAGCCCGCTGCCTGCACAGTGGAGAGGGCCCCCACCCCCCCCAAAGCTGTGGGGGTTCTCTGGGACCTTTAGTTACGAGCCAGAAAGCAAGTGACAGAAGACAAAGGGGTGGGGAGAGGGACACAGAGTGGAGGAGACCCGGATGCTAGGACCCAGGCTCTGCAGGCTTCTGCACATGCATCGCCACCTGGGGAGAGGCAGCCAGGGATCACCGGGAGCCCGGGGGCAGCTACACTCCTCTTGGTTTGGTCTCAGGGTTGGGCTCTGGTCGATAAAGGGCGGCTGGCGTTCAGCTCCCTGTTCTGCCTCACTGCAGTCAAATTGCCTTTTTCCAAGGCGACTTTCAAAAAAAAGATGACATTTATCAAAGCCTGCTGAGTGGTGACCTTGGTGGGAGGGAGAAAGGGCGGGTTGTGCTGTCTGTGGAAGCAGGGAAAGAAAATGAGGGAAACCTGCAGGGAAGGAAACGCTTTCAAACCTCAAAGTTGTTGGAACAATCACAGGGCGATGGCTCCAGGTTTGGGGACACTCGCTCCAACCTGCACTGCACTCCCTCCTGCCCCCTCCCTCACCCTCACCAGCATGTTTTCACTGGCAATCCCTGGCTCTCCAGCCTGAACAGCAGACTGAAGATGCTCCCTTCCAATAATCATCCCCAAGAAGGGCTGTGGTTTGGTAACTTTGCAAAATACAGAATCTTGGGATCATAGTTCCACAATTTCCACACAGGACAGGCTAAGAGGCTGCCATTTGGTTGGGAAACAGGAGGTAGGTAGGGGCTAGAACAATTGCCCTCAAGCTGTGTTTGCATAGCAAGTACATTGGTGTTTTGTTTTGTTTTGTCTTAAACATGTATTATACATCTGTTTGGAGTAGCAAGAATAAACTTTTCTGAACTGAAAGATGACTTTAGCAGTCATCTGGTCAACCTCACACCCTGTGCAAGATTCCTCCACAAGCTTACTCCCTTCCCTTAGCTGGTCCCTTAAGTCTTCTACACACAAGCTCTTACCTGTCACAATACATTGTGACCATCTGTTTCCTTCACCAAACCGTGGCACTTCAGAACAGAGGCAGTTTCTTGTTTGTCTGTCTTTGTATTCCATTTTTCTACTCCTACATACTCACAAGAGTTCTTGTTATATGTGAATGGGTGTGTGTATGATGGATGGAATGAATGAGCAAATAAATGAACGGACATCGGTGCGAAACAATCATCTGGCTCCTGCTTGAATGCTTTCTGTGACAGGGAGTTCATTACCTCAAGATGGAAAAGAGTTATTATTGGACAATAGAAATGTCAGAACCCGTTTCTGAACACGGAAAGGAAATCTTTCTCTGACACTTCTACTCAAGAGTACAGTTCTGCTCTGTGGATGTCCAGAAGAACAGAGGTTCTCAACCTAGATATGTATGCACCTAAGAAATACACAAAAAACCATGTGTGCCTCTGCCGACATGATTAGGGAGCAGGAACTCACTGGTTTCACAAAGGGAAAAGTATTGCCATATTTCAGTCACACTTCATTCATTTACCCCCTTTCTCATGGAAAATTATACTAGACAAACCAACAAGCCTCAAAATACTCAGTTTGGATTTCTCCCTCAATTTTCTTTGTTTTCTTTTTCTGAAGTTCAGATATTTCCTTTTTTTAAAAAAAAAAAAGATTTATTTATTTATTTATTTGAAAGCCAGAGCTGGGGCCGGTGCTGTGGCACAGCGGGTTAAAGCCCTGGCCTGAAGAGCCAGCATCCCATATGGGTGCCGGTTCTAGTCCCGGCTTCTCCTCTTCCGATCCAGCTCTCTGCTATGGCCTGGGATAGCAGTGGAAGATGGCCAAGTCCTTGGGTCCCTGCACCTACATGGGAGACCCGGAGGAAGTTCCTGGCTCCTGGCTTCAGATCGGCGCAGCTCCAGCCGTTGCAGCCATACGGGGAGTGAACCAGCAGATGGAAGACCTCTCTCTCTGTCTCTACCCCTCTCTCTAACTCTGTAACTCTCT